TTTTTTTTATCAAATATTAGGTTTGTTGCTTACAGAAGAGCAAATCCAGAATCTAGCCCTTGTTGAGATTGAGTATTTATTGGCGCGGCGTGGATCAAGTCTTAGTGATTATTCTACTATGCCCTTTCCTGATAGCGACAACATGAATTTCAATTCAAATCGTCTGATTTTGGATGAGCTGAGCTACGATCGAAAGGCTCTTGCTGTTGAACATGCTATGCTTCTTGAAAAAATGACTCATGAATAGAAAGAAGTCTACTCAACGATTATGCCATATGTGGATTCCGGTCAAGGCGGTTTTTTTTTTTTTTTTTTTTTTTTTTTTTTTTTTTTTTTTTTTTTGTATACGGATATGGTGGAACGAGAAAAACATATTGGTGGAGAACGTTATCTGCTGGATTGAGATCCAAATGTCGTATAGTGTTGTGTGTCGCATCGAGCGGAATAACATCACTTTTGTTGCCTGGTGGACGAACTGCTCATTCTCGATTTGGAATACCATTGAATCCCCACCAGAAGTCTTCTTGCAATATCACTCAGGGAAGTCCTCTTGCCGAATTGATAATACGTTGTTCTTTAATAATCTGGGATGAGGCTCCAATGATGCACAAGCATTGTTTTTAAGTTGTACATGCATCTTTGCAAGATATTTATGGGAGCAATTGATCCTTCTAATAAGCAAAAACCATTTGGAGGCAAATCAATTGTTTTTTATGGAGATTTTCGACAAATTATTCCTGTTATTCCAAAGGGTAGTCGTCAAGATATTGTGAATGCTGCAATTAATTCTTCTGACATCTGGAGAAGTTGTACTGTGCTCAGGCTTACAAAGAACATGCATCTTCAGAGTCTTAGAGATTCCAAGCAACGTGAAGAGGTTTCTCGGTTCGCTGAATGGATTGTGAGCATTGGTGATGGAACTATGAGGGTCAAATGATGGTTGTGCAATGATTGACATACCTGAGGATATATTGCTTCAACCATCCGATGATCCGATTGCTCAAATTGTAGAAAGCATGTATCCAATGTTTAAGCAGACAACTGATGATCCCAGTTATTTGAAGGACATGGCAATATTAGCACTGACTCTTGATGTTGTTGAGTCCGTCAATGAATACATGACATCGTTGAACTTATCAGACGGTAATACGTACTTGAGCTCTGACAGTACTTGCAAGTCCGACTCGAATAAAGATTTTCTATCTGATATCCATACGCCCGAGTTCTTGAATAGTATCAAATGTTCGGGAATTCCAAATCATCAGTTGCATTTGAAGATTGGTACCCCCATCATGTTGTTGCGGAATATGGATCATTCTATGGGTTTATGTAACGTGAGACAGTTGGTTGTAACAAAACTATCCGCTCATGTTCTTGAGTGTAGGATACTCACTGGGGATCATGAAGGCGAGAATGTGTTGATTCCTAGAATGACTATAGCTCCTTTCGATGTCAGAATTCCTTTCAAATTCTAGAGGCGACAATTTCCCATTATGGTATCGTATGCCATGACTATCAACAAGAGCAAGAGACAATCGCTATCGCATGTTGGTTTATTGCTTAAGAAGTCGGTGTTCAGTCATGGGCAATTATATGTTGCCACCCCCATCACTGACTTCTAGTCTGATTGATACTAAAGTTTGCATAGCCAAATTAGCAAACTGCCGATGCATCCTCCTCCTGAACAAAGTGAAGTGAACCAACATCATAAGGGCATTACATTTTCAGAGCAATGTTATTTCACTTTCAATCTTTTAAGAGAGAAATGAACTTAAGCCCAAAAGAAAAAGAAAATCTTATCGGTGTTACTTTTACTCGATAATATTCTAGATAAATTCCCACTAGAGCTACAGAGGCAACAACTACACAAGCCAACATAGAATCCCATTACTGAAGATAAAATAACAATAGTAGCAATCAACAATTCATATATAATCACACCCTACTATCGATAACTAGTGGGAAAGAAAAAAAAAACAGACCTTTAATGAAAATAGAAGACAAGTTTAAATTGTGAAGTTTTTCCAATCTCATGGAATCCCGTTCGCATCACATTCATTTAGGAAAAATATTGTGGGGTATCTGCCCGTCGAAGCCCTGTTTGAAGCTACACTCTTCGGAGTTAATGCGCATCCCGGTAGAGCCCGAACAGCTCCTGATTAGTCCCGGGCTGACCTTGAGCAGTCCCAAACAACACTCTAGCAAGGCCCTAACAACAACAACAAAGCCCGGACGCGGTCGCTTCAGGCCCGGACAAAAACAGCAGCTACATGAGCAATTTTTCAGCAATTAAATAACACTAATCGCACTTAAAGTGTGAAAAACCAGAAAACGAAAATAAACACTGCATATCCATGAAAAACCAGAAAAATAAAAAGGAAATCGAGAAACAAAATCAGGTCACACACCTTTCACACCACAACGTCGCACGAGCAAGCTCATAAGATCCAAAAACACTACGAAAACGAACCTCACAATCGACGGAGAAGAACCTTCAATCGAACCTTAGATCGCCGGAAAAAACCCTAATCGCCAGGAAAAATACAAAAAGAAAAAAACGAACCTTAAATCGTCGGAAAAGAGAGCCCTCGTGTAGTCGGAATCTCAGGGAAAGAGGACAATTGAAATCGGCACCTTAAATCGAACAGAATATCGCCAAGTATTGCTTAAAGTGAGAGAGAATTTTTTTTGAGCGAGAGTGATGAAATAGGGAGCGAGAATGGAAATGAGGAAAAAATGGAATATATGAACAAAAAATGGAAAGGTGAAAAAATGAAAAAGGTTTCCAAGGCAAATTATGTACTTTTGCCTACCAAATGAAAAAGGTTTCCAAGGCAAATTTGTACTTTTGCCTACCAAAATGGCTAGATTTCAACTTTCTTATAAAAATGACTATATTTCATTTTTGTTTTTACGTAATTGCTAAACTTTACCATTACCACTAAACTTTATCATGATATTTCGAATAATAAAGCACCAATTATAAATTAACAACAATTATGAAATGCCGAATAAAATAAAATCTTCAAAGTTTTTTTTTTTTTTTTGTATTATTATTATTATTTTTTTACAGGAACGGTTCTTTGCATACTTCCAGAAAGTAGTGTTTTCCCGGCACTAGCTCATACGCTATCGCCGGAGAAGAGACCGACATGTGTTTCCTTCAGGCTTGAAGAAAAAACCAAGTCCAGTCCAGATTCAGACGTCGTTTCTTTATCTCCATTACAAAACTCGGAGCTGTATACTTTAGTTGGGCGATGGATCAAGCCAAATTGCTGAGCAAAGCTCTGGTCAGAAACTCCGATAATCCCCAACTCGCATGGCTGCTCTTTAAACGCACTCTCCTCAACGCCAACACTAAAGATTTCTCTTCCCTTTCCCTCATCGTCCCCATGCTCATCTCCGCCAAAATGTTCCCCGAAATCAACACTCTCCATCACCATCTCCTCCGTTCCCCGACGCCTACGCTTAAACCTTTGTATTCAATTGTTAATATGTTGGCCAAGGCTGGCCATGTTCACAAGGCCATTTCTCATTTTCAAGCGATCCGAACTAGTTTCCCTAGTGCCCCGCCGTCAGTGTCCTTGTATAATTTGCTCGTCCAAATCTCTCTTAAAGAAAACTGTCCCAACTTTGTAACTTGGCTGTATAAAGACATGATCTTTTCCAAGGTGAGGCCCGAAACTTATACTCTCAATCTTCTGATATCTGGGTTATGTGATTCCGGGCGGTTGGAGGACGCACGGCAGTTGTTTGATAGAATGCGCGACAAGGGCTGTGAGCCCAATGAGTTCAGTTTCGGAATCTTGGCGCGTGGTTACTGTAGATATGGGCTTGCTTTTGAAGGTTTGGAGCTTCTGGATTTAATGAGGAACATGGGTTTTGTCCCTAATATAGTAATATACAATACATTTATTGCGAGCTTTTGTGAGGAGGGCAAAAATGACGAGGCCGAGAGACTGGTGGAGAGGATGAGAGAGGATGGCCTTGCTCCAAATGTCGTTACCTTTAACACAAGGATTTCTGCTCTTTGTAAATCTGGGAAGATCTTGGAAGCTTCTAGAATATATAGAGACATGCAAATGGATGAGGAGCTGCCAGAGCCTAATGTTGTGACATGTAACTTGATGCTGGAAGGCTTTTGCAGGGAGGGCATGTTTGAAGAAGCAAACACTTTGGTGCTGGCTATGAAAAGAGATAGTATGTTCTCAACTGTGGAGAGTTACAACATATGGTTGTTGGGTTTAGTGAGGACTGGAAAACTTTTGGAGGCACACGCAGTCTTAAAAGATATGGCAGACTTTGGACTGCAACCTAATGCATACTCATATAACATTTTGATTGATGGATTATGCAAAAATAACATGCTTGCAGATGCAAAGAGAGTTGTTAGTTTGATGAGAAGTGCTGGAGTTTCACCAGATGTGTTCACGTATAGCACGCTGCTCCAGGGGTATTGCAGGAAAGGAAATAAAGTTGAGGCCAATAAAATCTTAAATGAGATGATTAGAGATCGATGTTTCCCAAATATTTATACATGTAATGTATTACTCCACAGCCTGTGGAGAGAAGGCAATATAGCAGAGGCAGAGAGGTTAATGCAAAAGATGAACGAAAGAGGCCAAGAATTGGATACTGTTAGCTGCAATATTGTGGTTGATGGTTTATGTAGAAGTGGAAAGCTTGATAAAGCAGTTGAAATTGCAAGTGAAATGTGGACTCATGGAAGTGCTGCTCTTGGCAATTTGGGAAACATGTACATTGGTCTGGTGGATGAGAATAGGAAGAGATGCTTGCCTGACTTGATTACATATTCGACAATTATAAATGGGCTATGCAAGGATGGACGTCTTGAGGAAGCAAAAAAGAATTTTGTTGAGATGCTGGGGAGACACTTGTACCCTGATTCAACTATATATGATATTTTCTTATACAACTTGTGTAAGAGGGGAAAGATATCATCGGCCTTTCAGGTTCTTAAAGACATGGAGAAGAAAGGTTGCAATAAGACCTTACAGACTTACAATAGTTTGATATATGGATTGGGTAGTACTGATCAAGTTTTTGAAATGATTGGCGTGATGGACGAGATGAAAGACAGTGGTGTTTCTCCAAATGTGTATACTTACAGCATTGTTCTTAATTCTCTATGTTCGGGAGAAAGAAGTGAAGAAGCAGCTTTTCTTTTCGATGATATGTTACAAAGGGGTATAACACCAAATATATACTGCTTCAAGTTGTTAATTAAAATCTTCTGCAGGACTGGGGAGTTCAGACCAGCAAAGGATGTGTTTGAGATTGCTATCAGTGTATATGGTCATGAGGAAGTACTTTATTGTTTGATGTTCAACGAACTAGTTGCTGGCGGGGAAATATTGGAAGCTAAGCAATTGTTTGAAGCTGCACTGGACAGATGTTTCGATTTGAGCAGTTTTTGTTACAAAGATCTCATTAACAAACTATGCGGTGAAGAAACTTTTGACGACGCTCGTGATATCCTTAAGAAGCTGACTTTGAGAGGTTGTAAATTTGACCCCGCTGTATTCATGCCCGTGATTGATTATTTGGGTACAAGGGGAAACAAACATCAGATGAATGAACTGACAGAACAAATGCTGGCGCTGAGTTCAGATAAGGTTCAGGGAGACGACAAAAAGTTAGGCAATAATGGCAGACAAAACAAAGATGGCGGCAGTGATTGGCGGACCATTCTGCACAGGTAGATAGTTAAACTTAAAGTGGCTGAATTCGTTGCTCATCTTCTTCTTTTTTTTTTTTTTTTTTTTTTTTTTTTTT